CCGGTGGACGGTCATTCCGGTGTCTCACGCCGACGTAGATATCGTTGACACATGATGATGTCCCCAAACCACGTTAGGCTAATGATCATGTCAAGACCGATGGCATGGTCGATGTTTTTTGACCAAATCGGACTAAAACCGGGGGAGTGTTCAGTTCTGTTGGATTAAAGGGGGAAAATTATACAAACAGTGGAGTATTTTGGAAAAAACCTTGCCTTAGGTAGATCCAAATAAACAACAGCTCACTTTAGACTTGTTAGGGAATGAACAATTCGTGATCAGAGTCAACGAATAGTGCACATTGGGAGTGTGCTTGCCCGAAACGAAAGACATTACCCGTTCCCGATTTGACGCCTATACTGCCCCTAACTGCCTCCTCACCCCATGTTAATTGTTGTGAGTGTGTGACACTTGGTCCCGTTCGTACGTTCCGTTATAAGTCGATACAAGTGGCAAGGCTTGACAGTAGTGAGTCGTTCTGTGTATCCTTCTGTAGTTCACAACGATTCAGGCAATGTTTAGATCACCCCGATTCACAGCATTGTTCACACCAACTGCTTGTGCAGCATACATGTCTAATTTAATACGCCGGTTTTGTGCTTTCACTGTTCTACGTGATAGTAGCCATTCAGTGTGTGCTAATATGGACGAAGTGAAGCGGTAGCAAAACGAACGATTCTCTCTGATTAGTAGAATATTCATCGAGATATTTTCCCCTTAGCTGTTCACGTATACCTACTCCTGTTAAAGTGTACCACATTTACTACTACCACTACTAACACTAATACGTGGTAGGTACAACGATATTTTCATGAATCATTGAGACGTATTTTAGCAAAACCAGGACTCGTTTTATGACCTGAGAGAGTGTTGGTTTCTGCAAATCGCTCACGACCTAAACACATGAATAACTTAGAATAATAAACGCAAAGAACCAAATCACTGTCACCCCAACCCTGTAAACACAACCATTATTTCCCAAATGTAGCCATCAGGCACCCGGGAGAAGTAATCGATAATCTCTAAGACGGTCTAACGAATAGAGGTATCACCTGTTCCTCGGCCCTCATTCGTTCACTTCTGCCCGCCCCCTCCTGTTCCCAATCATCCCATCGTCCTAATAAAAGTGGAATGCATTTATTCTGAAAAACATCTGATACCGGCACCTCTTATACACATATACACACACAAGTTGGGGCAATGCCAACACTTGTTCTTTTATGATAATTTGCCCATTTGCCCAATGCCTATGTCACACGAGAAACACCAATGAGATGGTCCATACTCCATCAATTTTGGAGGTGCCAAATGAACGAAATTCTCATACATCGTTTGGCTTTTAGCTGATAGCTACCCTGCCCCCCCCCCCCCCCCNCCGCGCCTTTTGTTTGTCAAATTGACAACGAAGACCACGGAGGTGACGATGATCATACAAATGCATACCACCTCCCCTTGCCTTTTACATCCGTCTCACTTGCCATAATGGGGGTGTTAAACTTTTCGCATGTACGATGTATGCACGCGTTTGCGCCTGTCGAGCCGCATGCTTCACTTGTCTGTGATATTGGAGTTATGGAGGAGCAGGGTTCATCCCGATGAAATAAGTTAGACGGGCAAGGGGTACGCATGTTGAGCGGCGGCGGGGGGAGGGGGAGAAATAGCCTAATTAATTAATTCCGATTCTGGTATCACGGAATGACAGATTCTAAGTAGAATGTACTACACATCGATGTTCATGTACACCAGTGTGTTTCTACAAATGAACAAGCGTCGCTACTGATACTGCCAGTCCAGTTTTCCCCCATTCACACTTTCTCTCCCTCCAACCGCCACGCCCCCTCCCGCTGCGTTCACGACGTCATCCTTCGTGGATTCATAGAAACGATAATGTGATCTGAAAGATGTTTTGGCTGAAATCCTTGTGCATACGCACAAGTGTTTGAAATGACCTCTTGGCATGTTTTGTTGTGGATTGTACGGAATTCAAATCTGGCACGCGGAGAACAGATTTGTGAGTTGTAGGTAAATATAGCTCATGCCTCTAACGGCTCGCAAAACAAATCTTCACAGGTACTTTTTACAATCTGGTAATTTGCTACAACCTGTGCAGATCCTGATGCACAAACGGCAGTAAATCTGAACAGAATCAGAAAACATGATTTCACTTTTGCTGAACTTTATGGAACCATAATGATTCAATTCTGGGGAGGAATTGTTCAAAGAACCGAGTTAGATTGGAACCCGGGGAGTGAAAACTTGCAAACCTGATCCAGTACTCATGCTAGATATATGAGATCGCGACCTGCATAACGTTAGTTAAGGTAACAACACCCAGCATCTACAAGATGTTACAGCAGTGTTTGACGCGTTGCCTCTTCACTAAATTCACACATCTTAGCATACAAATTCCCTACTAAGAATAATCACATGACTCCAATTCCACAAATAATTAATTACAATCAGCTTCCAGGTGCAGCATGAATTCTATTTGTCAATATACCTAAAAGGATATCAGCAAGCAAGCGATTGTCTCTCTTCCGTTTTGTTTTATCGTAATCCAGTCATTCATCGCACAATTAGTCCGTCAGGGTTATTGTTACGACCGCGTGAATGGGAATAGTTTCAATCTCCGACTTACGTGAAACCTCCGTTACACAGTATCCATTTCCTCTCCCGGTCTTTTTTATACCCATGCCTAAGGACGACCGAAATCCGTAGAACACTGTGGTTCTACCGCGGTTTGCGCTCCGCACTGTCCCTTGAGCAAATAGCATGTTTGTGAGAGCATACATACATATGAGGTAAGACAGTTGTCACTTTGTTGTCCTTCCTGATCGATGGGTGATGGATAAATTTTCAGTGAGAATCGTCACATGTGGAGGGAGTAGTTCAGCCTTTGGACGCTGTATGTCCTGTACCGCGTACCGCAAGGCGCACTTCTGTCAGTGTGCTCGCACCCTCTGCATGCAGTCTGAACAGGGGCATGTAATCATGAATAGCGGATCGCGAATATGAATCATACCGCGCCTGTATGGACTTAACAACTAACCCCACATCAGCGATCAAAGTTAGGGGATTCGGTGCACAGAAGCGGAAGAAAACAGATGATCTGAGGAGTGAGGACAACACCAGGAATCGGAATCACTGTAGACAGATTGAGTAATAATATATTCACATCAAATGCCTACCAGCGCTTTTCGTGCAGGAGGATAGACGCCATTTATTGTGAAACTATGTGAAACTAATGTTTTCAGTGTTCCCCACCAATTCTTACGAGCACTTATCGCGTTGGAATCACAGAGATCGTAATGTGTACTGAATCAGGAGAACCATCATTTCTATTCGTTGTTTTGAGGAATTTAATAACTATAGAGCCACGAATATTTATATGCACACACACACACACACACACACACACACACTGTCCCTTTTCGGTGGGACGATTGACATCGCGACAATGGCGAGCCTTTCGAATGTATCGCAAGCACAAAACTATTACCCAGGACAAGATGCACTCCATCGTAGCTCTCTCTTTCAAACAAGGTGACATTCTCGTTTAAAAGCAAATATACACAGCCGAACTGAAATTGAGGAAGAAGCATTTTTCAGGTGACATATTTGCCACATTAATGCATATATGGAAATTGTAAATACACGAGATCAATGGGAATTATGCATTGAGCAATCTTTGGCGTAAATCTGACCCGCCTACCCCACACCCCGCCGCGCCATGATATAGACGTTCGCTTTTTTTCCGGTATCTGGTCCCTCGCCGAACCATGGGTTCAACATAAGCTGTAACACATGGGCCACATTGTTTAGAAATTTGCTTACCCGCTGAGCCTAATACTATCAATTAAAATGATCAGTATGATGTGGTAGGCAGAGGTTTCTTTCTTGATGAAGTTCTTTCGCTGTCAATATGTACTCTTGTACTCTGCCTGGGCTCAAACCTCTTACCACTGAACTGCATACTGGACAACGAAGACATTGAGTAGACATCAGATTCCATGAACAATATTGCGCGTGAAGTTGATTCAATGGCATGAATCTAATATTAACGGTTAACTTATGACATCCAATAATAGTGCGCTGAGATTTCATCAGACAAACGTTTATGAATTAGAAAGGAATGATTGATAACTAGAACGATGAATAGATGGACCTAAATCCACTTATTTGATTTGGGCTTTAGCATTTGGCACCTTTGGTACCTTTTTCCAACCTCTTTTGTTGAATGTGATACAATCATTCGTATCTCTGGTGTACGTATATATATATATAAAATTAACTATCGAATCCAAAACGTGCTGCAGTTGCCCCAGGATAAGTTACCCTAAAGCAGGCTTATCCGAATGACAGATCAAGCTCAGTCATCAAAATCAATAGAGCATATTTTAGTTGACTTAGGCATAAAATCATCATAGATCGTTGCGTTGTAATGAAAAACCATAACCTCAAACTTTTGGAACGTACAATGTCTGCTCGAATACAGATAGATTCTACAAGTCACCTTGAGTGGAGCATCGTCTATCCTGTCTCCCGGGAGTTACATAATTCTCACCTGAATACTGTAAATTCGAAACCCCGTGGGTAACTGAGTCCGAAGTGAGGACAAGTTTTTGCATGTGATCTGTTACATTCATTCTAATGTTTGCTTCGAAAATATTTGTCTAAGGGAACTTTAGCCTGTTTTGAGCAGTCATGGTAAAGTTACCCTATGATTCTTTCATGCAACACATAAATCGGTAGCAACAGGTAAGTACTGTGTACAGGAACAGATTAGAACTCACTCATTTTACCGGAATTGTCATTAAAATCGGAATCAAATCGACCAGCTATGGCTGTCATGATCCGACCACACGAAGTTCAAATTGTTCTTTGGTTTTTCAAATAGCTGCTTTTGCAGCGAACGTAAATTGTGATCAATGAGCGAAATGATTCCGAAGAAATCCACGATGCAGTGTACAACAGAAGAACTTCACAATATTTGTTTTTCTTTTTCAAATTAAATCCACTGGCAACATGTAGGGAAATCGGGGACAAATACAGTGTCCTTTTTTGGTTTTTTCTTCGTGTGTGTAACTTTCGGTCCGATTGTTTCGCGGCGGTTCACTGTCGTCCGCTGTTGTCGCCTTCACGTACATACACGCACGCACGCACACACGCACACTCGAAACACACGTTTGGTTAATCTCTCACCCCGTGAAGATGTGCAAACCGATTTATTGACACGACAAATCAATTTATGCCTCTTTGCATGGACCGTGCTCCGTTCCACCTTTCACAATTACGTGCCTCAGTGCTTTGCGTCTGTTTCGCTCCACGTTGACCAATCGGGTTGAAATTTGTGACGCGTTCACTCCTCGTGAAAATCCGATTGGTCAAGTCGGATACGGGTCAGAGTGGCCATTGGGCCAATCAGTTTTCAATTCTCACCCCTTCCTATGAACTTGCTGCAGTTCGAAACTAGTTTTGACGGTCGGTTCCAGTGGCGNTATGTTTGTGTTCGTATGTGTCTAATGCTTCACAGATTTGCTCAAACTTCCATTGCGAGTTGTAGATTTAGATGGTAGCTGAGCCCGGACCGATCGAATCAGTTCTGATCACAATGGGAATTCGTAGGGTTAAATGGGGGCGATAAATGATAATTTAATGAGATAAAAATAATTGCGGTAGAAAACAGGTAATGAAACTAAAATCGGTAATCAATAAAAGTATGCGTTTTTCTGCCTTCAGCACAATTTCTTTTCCAATTGGAGAACAAGCAGAACAAAATAAACTGAATTGTTCCCATTTTTACAGGTGGTTTATCA